TTCTGGCTGGAAAAGACTTTGCACCCGATGTCTGTAATTTCTCAACAGCGGAACAGACATGCTGCCGGACCCTAGAGAAAAATTACGGGAAACGTGTGCAGATGAAAAAAAAAGAGAGACAGAGAGAGAGAGAAAAACAAGCTGCAGCACTGTGAAGTGCAAAGAAGCCTCTAATTGTTTCCCCAGTGTATGTGACCCAGTGACTCTGGAGGAGCTCTTTCTTGTTCTTTTACTACGGGCAACCCAGCATTCATTATTGATTTGGTGGCACAAACTCATAGTCTCACACAACGCGGTCTTATGAGTGGGCTTAAGTGTTCTGTCACTCTGGTGCACAACTACATTAAAGAAATGCTAATACACCTTTTTCCCCACCTAGCTTGCGCACATTGCTATATTTTCCTAAAAACTCTGAATTAATAACCAAGAGTGAATAAATTGAATGGGATTAAGCCCGAACGACAGTGACCCATATATGAATATTAGGTTGATGGAAGACACTCCAACGTAGCCCATTTAGCCAGCTCCATGTCATGTCTTCATACGACAGGCTTTTACTAAGCTCCTTAAGAGCCTGCCCCGGGGGATCTATGGTAGGCTGGAGGTACTGACTCAGGCCTTATCTCCACTAATTTACCCCATGAATTAGACAGCCCCGTCTTTCTGTGTACTGCCAGACCCACACAATACTCACTCCATGTTAAGAAAATGAGGAGAGAAAAGGGGCTTAGTGATTGCTTAGTTGGATAAGAAGCTGAGGAATTGACAGAGGAAAGGCACACTCTGCCACTTAAACTTTACCTGGACAGTAACGTTCATCCCCTGGGATTAAAACGTGTTGACTCCCTGTCACTTGTCTCTGTATTTGCAGGGCGGATTAGGTAAAATAAAATGCGATTTAAATCATAAGGATTAAGGTGACTTTTCGAAAACAAACAGGCAGGGTTTCACCCCTGTCGCTCACGACACACAGAAAGAACGATTAACTTCTTTGTTCGTTTCCGGCCGGCCTTACATATTACGATGGCTGATGGATATTTTACATTTCAAGTGAGCTGGCAAGTCTTTAAAAGCCGTGCATGACTCAGTAGTCAAAGGTCCAGAAATCTATATGTACCGCACATGCTGCAAGCATGCAAATCGCAGTCAGAGTCAACAAATAAATGCAACAGATTTGCAAAATAAAGTCAGTGGAATGTGAAACACGCACTGCTTCAGTGGATTGATTCTTGTATGCCATAGCAAAAAAAAAAAAAAAAAGGTCATTTATGTTTGCATGTTACACATGAATGAAAAGAAGTGAACTTTACATAAGCTTACGTAAGCTTAAAGTACGACTTTGCTTTTCCATATCATGATGGTCTCCCGCACCCCACTCCTGCTGTCTCTCCCTCCATGTGATGCATTTTTAAAAAGTCTCAGTTAAAAGGGGGATACAATCAAAAACAGCTCCTTGCTGCTGCTGCTGCCGCTGCTGCTGCTTCTACTGCACGTTCGGCTGTCCCTGATTATAGCTCAGTCGGCTTCGTCCTTGGTCTGTGTGTTATTGAGAGTAAATTGACTAATTAATAAATAATTAATAAGTAGATAACTTCTGGCAGACAGTAAGTGGAGACATACTGTGTGACATCTGCTTTGTAGTTAGAATGGCGATGTCCAAAAGAATCTTGTTTACTAAGCAGACATTGGTCTTTGGCAGGGAAACCTGTTAGTCAGGGGAGATGTTTTTTGGGCCATGAACAATGTAATATCTCAGTTAAATATGTTATGTGCAAAAGACTTGAGGCATATCTTTGTGCCTCGGGCCAAAACCGCTTTGTTAGTCTAACAAACACTCTTTCATCTTTTTACTGATTTAACAAATACGTCTTATTCATTATTGAAACGAGTGTGACACAAGTGTACGGAGCACCGCCGCTTGTTTCGACTAATGTTTAATAGAGAAACTATCAGGGTGTTTTGCAGCGATTCAGTCATATCGAGTGTGATTTAATGATGATGAAGGCGCATCCTCCTGAGCAAACACGAAGAGACAAGTTGATCCTCCTGCATTAGTCACTTTACATCCATGTCTGCGAAAGGCAGGGGGAAAGGGCTCGGGTGACACATCATGAGGCACATTTTTACTTGGTTTTTGAAGATTTGGGCTCTTTCTCAGAGGTCTCTGCGAAACAGCCATTGTGAGAGACCATTAAGACCTCACACGACTCAGAATCATTTACATTTTAAGCAGCAATAACCTAAAAGCTAAATCTGCTCTCTAGATGAGTCTCAAGAAGTAAAATAAGTCTCTAAACTTTATGTCTGTTTGGGCAGGCATTTGTTACCTGTGGATTTTCAAGAGCAGCAGTCAAGCCAAGGCAATTATCTCGCTTGCTTGGTAACGTGGTAATAAGCTAATCTGTTTTAGATTCACAAACATCACACCTCCCCTCTTCCTTTTGTTTGAGCGATGTTGCAACGTTGTGAGAACAGCGCTAGAACAATGACAGGCCTTTCCTTGGCTGCGGGATAAATAGTGATAGGACATATTTTCAGAAGGTCAGAGGTATCCATTTGGGAAATTATTCAGCTCCTGCTCCTGCCTGCTTCGAGACAACACGTCAAACGCAATGAAGAATATTAGAAAACACAAATAACCTTCCACAGCCTTCCTTATATGTGCGACGACACACCGCCGTGTATACACAGAGGAGCACATGTGCTTGCACACCTCTGCCCATGTGTCTGGACAAGAAAGCAATAAGGAGCGCGATGCTTAAAGAGAAACTGAAGGCTAAGGAACAAGAGGACTCTCGGGCCAGAGACCAATGAGCGGCTCATCCATGTTAAGTCAGGCCAAGACACACTCAGGTGTATTCACGTTAGGTCAGCACGAAGCCTCGCTGACCTTTGCAGTAGACAGAGAGTCTCATGGAGCTTTTCTTGAGCAGCCCTGAGACTCACAGGGTAAACAACGGACTCAATGCTGCACTTGTGTGTGTGTGTGTGTGCACGCGCATATGTGTGCACGTGTGTGTCTACGGGAGTGTGTCAGCATGTGTGCCTGTCAGTGATCACATGTTGACCGCTTCTCGATGGCCCAACCCCTTCCAGTGTAATCTGTCTAGCAAATGAACACACTGGGAGAGCGCCGTTCTCTGTAATTACTCTCCAACGGCTGAAACACGAAAGCTCAGTTTTTGTCGTAAATTAAGCTGCCACGATTGTTACACAGCTCAAGTACATCCCAGAAAGAAAAGAAAAAAATCTGAGAAAGGGGTGAAGAATGGATATTAAAACAGCAGGGAGCTTGAAAAAATAGCACTTTGCTCGACTGGAATGCAAACACTGAAGGGTCAGAAAGAGAATTCACAAACAGCAGCACCAGCACCAGCATGCATAATTCTTCACATGATATTGAAGCGCCACTTACAATACAGACACACACCATTCTCCTGCAAATCAAAACTGAATTCGAGGAGCCCTTCTCAGAATTTCACAAGGCCTTTTTTCCCCCCTTTTTTGTTTGAAAAAATATGTACGCAACAAAAACTAGAAATTCTACATGTCTGTGTGATTATCATCTATTAGGGTCTTCTTTTATCAGCAGTGTGGTTTGCATGCCAAATAACAGGCTGAATCACTTCCTAAATGTTTAGGTTTCAGGGACACATTGGTTATTCAACTAATCACCATGACAACTCCTGCTTGACATTTCCACTTCCTCCTCTCTCTTTGGAATTCAACTCTCTCTCTCTTAATTATTCTTACTGCCACTGATAACAACCAGACTATTTATTTATAGTATATTTCTGAAGCCATGTGTCCAGGAATTTCAGACTGTATGGGAAAGTAGACGTGTGTGGCCTACAAGATCATTACACTGTTTTATGCACAATAAACTCTTTGCTTTGCAAGCAATATGTTCAGTTCTGCAGCTTTTATAGGTATTAAAGATGGAAAAAACATAACTTTTCCCTGCTTCTTTAAAAATCTTTTTTAATGTGATTAAGCCAAAAGGTTAAAAAGAATGAATAAGTGTCAAGCAGCAAGTAGAATAACCTATATATATATCTATCTATCTATATATATATATATATATATATATATACACACACTCTGTCACTCTAAGATGAAAAATGCCCTTTAATAACCAGTTAAGCTCACACTGAAGCTTCTATACTGAGCCACTCATCTAATCATCCACAAACCAATTAGGAGAAAATGTTATTAAAAAAGGGAATAGGAATCGGGGGATACCCATGTATCCCCGTGGCAGATTATCCTGCTCATCCTGATGGAGGTCGGTAGCCTGGTGCAAACTGGTCCCAATCATATTTTAAAAAAAAAAAAAAAAAAAAAAGGGACCTTAGATCTGCTTCTAACCTGATCTATTTAAGCCATCAATTCTTTGTTAAATGTACCTTAAAGTTCAGAGCTCGCAGTTTCCGCCCTTTTATTTCTTGTTTTTGCAATAAACGCAACTCATTTGGCGTTTTCGGGGTTTTTCCTTGCTACAGGATGAACAATGACACAGAGCTTGCGCCCATCACGCGCACAAGATGTCTTTATGCCCAAGTAACAAGTGCTCTGGACGCCTATCGCAAGCATTTATTTTCTGCATTGACGTTTGCCGTGCGCTGGTATCGCAACACGCTACATATGGCAGTGCGAGGAAAAGATACAGACAGTTAGCAGCATCCAAAACCCCTGCGTCTAATAAGACTCCGGGTAGTCCGTCCAACTCACAAAATCCGAATGCGTTTTGGAAGTATACGTGCCTCCGTGCCGGGTTACAGCGCTGCGTCGATCTTGCGTTACAAAATAGCTCCCACTCTTAATCTTTTCCACACACGCACACAAATAAAATAGAAGCTTAAGTCGTATAAAATAAATCCAAGTATCCTGATATACCCTCTTTCCCCCCTGCACATCTCCCCAAGTCACTCAGAACGCAGACAGCCTTAGATTTTCTGCCCCTTCTCTAGTTGCTCATCAAGTCTCATGAAATGACTCACCTGCCTTGTCGAGATCTAAATCCCCCCATGCCTTTCTGGAAATAAAAAGCCGGGATAATGTTTCACTGTTTCGGGGTCTTCACTCGCAGTCGAGTCTCTGTACTCCAAATATCCGTATAGTCTGCGCACCGCTTATATGTTTTTCGGGAATGACCTTCCTGTGAAGCGATAACGACTCTCATTATCCTCACTCCGCTGTCATTTTAATGGATTTCTCCCACGTTTTATTTTAGTGATTAATTTTCTTTCTTTCTTTCCTTTTTTTCCTGCGGGAAGTCTCCTCCTAGTCCTGGTGCGTTTTGCTGCTTTTGCCTTGACTCTTGAGCTCAACACGAGCTTCGCGGGGACGCGCGGCGCTATCCCGTATGAATATTCGGGAGCGCCGATTTGAGATGGAGAAGAGAGTTACTAGGTAACCAAGGGCACACGCATCATACATGAAAAGGAGCAGACGGTTTATGCCTTCCAACTATTCTCTACCTTCTCTGACAGCTCATCAAACACAACCCTTTTTCCCCGGACTAACGTTTCTCACCAGAACAAAATCTATAAGGCAAGTCAGACACGTAGCCTATTTAATAATGACTGAGGCCTCTGAGAACTTCGTTTTAAATGAAGATTGTATTTCTATGGCAGATTAGCAATTTATAAAGAGGATAAAACGTTAAAGGCATCCAAGCACTTGGATGAAGTCAAAGAAAAAAATAAATGAAGTAGAGGTGAGATCTATAAATGCTGAACTGGCTGGTTAGAAATAATTAAATTATCACAGCATATTTTCAGATGGCTCCAGCATTTCTCACTTTATAAATGAACTAGCTATTATAGCTTTTCTTAAGATTTATGTGACATTTATTTAGCTCCCATCTTTACACGAGTCAGTGAGATAATAATATAACACAATGCAGCACAGGTGAGTAAAGATTAGGCCTGGAATCCTTCAGATCCACCAACACTGGATGCCGTATTGGGCTAAGGCAGCTTTTGATTGGTCTCTAAGCATCATAAAAGCCCCCATTTATTCCTGCTGTCAGTTTCCAGTGCAAGCTTTCTATTATAAATCATACTTTACGCCATTATGACATCATCAGGTTAATTCTCTCAGGCTTGACATACCTCCTCCAGAGCTACAGAACTCATTATATAATTGTTTTCAAACAAATACTCATTAAAGGGAAATCATCTTTTTTTTTTCTTTCCAACGCTGATTTTAAAAAGTGTTTGCGATAAAAGGATTACAGAGCAGATAATTTGTGGTTTCAAACATTTTGTTTTCATTACAAGTCATTACATTACCACCTCTATATATCACCGTAACAGTGCCTGAGTAGTTTATGTAGAATATGCTTTATGTTAGCTGCATCGAAGTACATATAACTGGAGATGAATTGGCCAGTGTTGGTGTGGGAAAAGCAGAGAATTTGGGTCCGCGTTTCAGATGTGCAAAATAAGATTACATTGATTAGGAGAAAGATAGAAAACTCTGACAAAGAGCAAAAGAAAGAGTTCCTCCTCTGGAACAGACAGGAATGCAATAACTGTCAAATGAATGCTTTTGAGTAAAACATTTAAGTAACTTTCATATAATTTTAATGAAACGAGCTCTCGAGTATTTGCAAACAGTTACTGTATTTTCTTGAAACCATAGTGCACCGTTGAAATATTAATGCGAGACTGCAGTGAAAAACAATTCTATGATTTAAGTCTAAGTCATTTTGGGTCTGTAGTCGCTATATAATAATATGGAACAGTTTATCTCAACACATCTGCTCTCTCTATTGATATTTTAAAATCTCCCATCGCTTCTCATTGGCCACCTCACTGAGATCGATACTGTATCATCTGTTGTTCCTCTTTTTTCCTTGTGTTCTGCTGTTTACATTTTATTTTGTTACCCGTTTCCTCTTCTCAGCTTACTGAAGTTGTAATATGGCCAATAGTAATTATTTCAGTTGTCAAAAAAGTAATACAAACATTAGTTCTGAGATGAACCATAAAAAGCAGTCCTTCCAAATTCGCCGCAGCATTACCAAGAGTCCTCTATAACGATTTGGCAGAATTAACCTATCTATGAAACACTAAAAAAAATAGCGTTGACTGCGTTTTAGGACAGTTTAAATGCAAATAAAAGAAACACTATTCCACATAAGTGTACCACATAAAACAGGTAATACTAAGTGCAGGTCTAATTAGAGGTATAATAGTCACTTGTACATTTTAAGAGAAAGCTGGAAATCACTGAAATCTAATTTGGTGTTTGGAACAGAAACCAGCATACACATGACTCTTGTGAGCAGAGACCTTTTAATTATAGAACAGCAAGGGGTTGATGCTGCTGCTGCTTTTTCCCCCACTGATGTTCAACACTCACACAGTGTAAAATACAAAAAAAGGGAAAGAAAAGGAAAAAGGGGGGGGGGGGGGGGGGGGGGGGGTACTGACACAAACAAACCGGAGTGCAATGCATCCACAAGACATATTGTTTTTGAGCAAGACGCTCAATCATGACGCACTGCTACTTTTATGAACCAGTCAGTTGAAAAAAAGAAGAGCAAAAATTCAAAGGGTACTCTAAAGCGTTGTAACCCTTTACTGTCTAATGTTGAGGGATAACTTTGCGTGTGCTCAGTTCCAAGTTTTAAAGGTGGGCACAGTAAAGTCATTCATTCACAAGGACATTTTTTTTCTTTCCAAAGGAGAAAGTCAGCTCCACGCAAACAGATGAATGTTGCCTGAGGCAACCGGATGGGTTACATCAAACGCACACTCAGAAAAACTATTTATGCCTTAGAAGTGAGTCATGTGAACATTACAGAAATGCAGGAATATCAACAATTCACTGTCCCGAGACTGTTTTCTGACATTTTTTGCAACACTGTTTTCAAAAATATTAAGTTTTAGAGCACTGTCTACATCAATAACAATACACGCAGCACCCACATGAGAGGGAAACAGGTGGAATTGAGTGTGAGTGGGATGGGATTTTAGATGTACACATAAAAGCTTCTTATGGGAGTGCAATACTGACTATGTTCAAATATCATTTAGTCTTCGGCTGAATGAAGTAAAACAGCTCTTTGTGGACAAAACAGGAATGCAAACAGCTGGGGTTGTCTAAAAGTAAATCAGAGCTTTTCTTTTTTTCCTTAGTTGTCTTGACCACATGTTTTGAAAATGATGACATTAGTCAAAAAACATAAAGGGAAATAGTTCACGGAGTAGAGCAAATAAAGAAAAACCCACATACATATAAAAATAGATAAAAATAGAGTTCATGTCTGTCAAATGTGATTGGGCCCTTCTTTAGAAAAATATGTCTAGCAGGAAATACAACAAGGAAAAGACAAGTAAATGAGACAGGCGAGCAGGACGAGAGTCAGCAGATCAAAATTCTGATGACCACTGCTGTATATTAACAAAGAATTGAAACCCAAATGTAAAAAACAAAAACCTAAACAAAATGATTTGCAAATTATTTATTACTATCGGGGGCGATCGTGGCTCAAGGAGTTGGCAGTTCATTTTGTAACCGGAAGGTTGCCGGTTCGAGCCCCGGCTCGGACAGTCTCTTGTGTCCTTGGGCAAGACACTTCACCTACCGCCTACTGGTGATGGCCAGAGGGGCCGATGGCAAGATATGGCAGCCTCGCCTCTGTCAGTCTGCGCCAGGGCAACTGTGGCTACAACTGTAGCTTGCCTCCACCAGTGTGTGAATGTGAGAGTGAATGAATAGTGGCATTGTAAAGTGCTTTGAGGGCCCCAAAAAGCGCTACATAAATGCAATCCCTTATTATTATTATTTAAAAACAATATTTTGTTTAAAATGTGCAAAGGCAATATGGTCAATGTAGAAACTGATACTTTGTTCTAATAAACCAAGTCTGGAATAAATGTAGAATATCCCCTCACAGAATATACAGCTAATTAGATTAACTGGAAGTAATAGAGTAACACAACTGGGTATCAAAAAATCATCACAGAGAGCTACCTGTGGAAGGATTATTGGTTCAAAAATTTAAGAAGCACACCCTAAGATTGGAAAAAGTCCAGAGAAATCTCTGTACTCAGTGTAAAAGGCCAAAAAACAAAAGTTAAATACGGCGTAGAGGCAGCACAAACACAATTACATCGTGGAAAGATGGTTTGTGAAACACTTCTGAAAACCATGGCGAGTGAATGCATTGTTGCATCTACAAATGCACGTTAAACCACTGCCATACAAGAAAAAAATAACATATAGTAACAACATCCAGAAATACTGTATCCTCTCCATGCATTAGCTCATGTAGGATGGAGCACTCGATATCTACAATTATTCTTGGGAATCATGGATGCTTTGAGAGGGACCATCTGGCTTGTCATCAGTGTAAAGAAGCCTGCATCATTGTTGGTATATGGATTCATTAGTGTCTACGGAACTTGTATACATGTGAAGGTACCATTGATGCTGGAAGACATGCACTGAATACTTACAGTATGCTCTCATCCAGTCAATTGCAGCAAGAAAATTATAACCGTGTGGCTCTGCGGTGGTAAACATTTGATACATAATAAATAGAAAAATACCACAATGTGCTGAGCAGCCAAAAACAGTTCTTTTTCCAATTACAGGGACTAGTTTCATATATTCCCAAACATTTGCCAAAAGCTTTTAAAGAGAAGAGATTTACAATATCGTTTAACCCACTAGATTTCTCAGTATTTGATGTATTTTCTAAAATGTTACCCTTTATTCTAGTGATGACTGTAACTATTTGTAAATTATTGCATTCTTTTTTTCACACAACTGACAGTTTCATTTCTTTTCTTTTTTTTTGTCACACAGATAATGTGCATAAAAGGGGCCCACCTCCCTCACTTTCTCGCAAATCAAGATAAAACAGAAAAGGTAAAGACAGAAATGCAGAGGATCCAATATCCAACAATACTCAACAAGTTTTCCTACACTGACCTAGTTCTTTTGTTATATATTTTAAAGACTGTTTTAATCACTGCAGCGGTCTTAAATGCTTGTGTCAGATTAGTGGAAGTTATCCTCTATTTGCACAGAAATATCTAAATGTAATACAAGTCATGGCAAAGAACGCTATGATTTCAAGCCTTTTTATTTACAGACTTTTAGTATTTGCTTCTGCAGCAACTTTGCAGTTTGAATACTGTACGACAATGTTTTCATCTATAAACCCAAGTTTAGCATCTCAGTTCTTTGTCTGCGGGAACATCATTTTCTCAAGAAGATTAATAGTTTCTCTTATTTCATTCCATCCTGAGTTGCTGAAAGTGATTAGCATACATAGCTATTAAACAGCTTCAGAATTACACTGCTGGGCTTAATGAAGCAAGATAAGTTCAAGAAAACCTGACTGATATGAAC